CAGTGAGAGAACAAGTGAGAGAGAAAGAAAAGGTAAAAGAAAGAAAAGTAAAAATTTGAAAAGAGTAGAAAAAAGTAAAAATTAAGAATTAAAAATAAGAGAAAAAATTTTTTTCTTTTTTGCAAATAGCAAAAAATAAAAATGATGGGCCTCCTTCAGTGATGGGCCTCCTTCAGGGTATGTCTCTGCTATCACAGTAGGCAATGTAGGCATCCGTGTGCATATACAAGTCAGTGAGTCTCACCAAGCCAACAGCAGACCTGTGAGATTGAGGCAGATTTCTGGCTGCTGGTCCCAAGTTGAGCTCCCTGTCCTCCTGCAGGGTTGAACTCTGCAAAGTTGTACTGCAGGTCCCAGTTGCCCTTCCCCTGAAGATACTGCAGGTTTTGATGGGAGGTGATGGTCCCGGGTGATGATCCCTCCAACTTACCAAGTCTGGTGGTCTGGTGTGCCTTTATTGTAGAGATTCTCTTTACTTTTCCGCTGAGCTTCAGTTTTCATCGAGGAGCCTGAGAAGCCCTCTTTCTGTTACTAACCTCTGCTCTATCTTATGGCCCTCGGGACAAGGGCCTTTATAATCCCCTGTGTCTCTGTAGTGTGGAACCAGGTAGCAGAAGAGCCAGGAGGCCAGAGGCGGATATTGAATTGGGCCTTGCAGGTGCCCACGCAGCTAAGCGGAGAGCTGGAAGGGTCTGAGGCTCCAAACCGCGCCTGGGACCTCACTGTGGCATGGGCGGGGCCCAGGACAGGGGCGGGGGGGGGGCGGGCTTCATGCTGCTTGGCTCCCCCGCTTGCTCTGGCTTGTCCGAGCGGAGCGCCGGATAGGGCCGGGGCTCCAAGCCACGCCTGGGACCTCACCGTGCCATCGCAGATGGGATCTTAATCAAAGTTAAGATGACCAATTGTTATGGCTTGGATCAAAACTGCCTCTCAAAAAAGGCTCATGTGTTCAGAGGTAGGGCTTTTTTAAAGAGATTACCTCATGGAGAAACTGGCCTCAGCAATGGATTGATTATTCTATTGATGAGTTCATAACTAAATGTGTTGTTAGGAAGTGGGTCCTTGTTAGAAGTACATAGATCATGAGGGCATAACCTGGAAGGATATATTCTTATTCCAGGCTCCTTCCTCTCCCTCTGGCTCTTCCTTGCCTTCTGTTTCTTAGCTGTTATGAGGTGAGCAGCTTTTCTCCACCACACCATTCCACCATGTTTTTGCCTTGAAGCTAGCCAACAATAGACTGAAACCTCTAAAAAAAAAAAAAAAAAAACCATGAGCCAAAATAAACTTTTTGACCTTTAAAGTTGCATATGTTAGGTATTTGGTCCCTTCCATAAAAAGCTAACCCCAGTAATAGGAGAAATTGATGATGTATCACCTGAGAGAATGGATTGCATAAAATTTAATACCTCATGTGTGATATCCCTGCCAAAAAATACATTACTGAAATTTAATCATGAGGAAAAATCAGACAAATCTTAATTGAAAGACTATAATCTCCTTGTAATTTTTAAGAATGTCATTCATGAAATTTAAGGATAGACTAAGAAACAGTTCCAGTTGAAGGAGATAAAGGAATTATATCTACTAAGTGTAATACATGATCTTTTTCCTTAAACAGACATTTTTGGAACAATTGATAAAATCTGAGTGGAGGCCTTGGGTTATTTGATAGTAATGAATCAATGTTCACTCTTTCATTTGATGTTTTATATTGTGGTTTTATAACATATCAGACACTTGTTTTCAATATAGTTCCTGGAGGCTGAGGTAGTTGTTTTTACAATTCTTGAATCTTCTCTGTAAGTTTGAAATTATTTTAAAATAAAAGTTCATCATTATTTAAAAAGTCTATGTTATAGGTAATTAGCTAGTGCTATCTTCTCTAGGTTCCTGTTCCCATTGTGTGTTTGTCTCTGGAGACTTTTCTTGCAGGTTTGGATTTTTAAGAAAATTTAGCCACCATTGTTAAGTATTTTGTAGCTCCCTTCCCACCAAATTTCAGGTCATAGAAAACCAACAGTTGTCCAAGATCTGGTTTTTTCCCCTAAATTTAATACTGGTATTTCCTAAGTATTTCACTGCATACATGGCCACTGAGCAAGAGACTCTGTTTCCTAAGCTCCCCTTGAAGTGTGGTGTGGCCATTGTGAATAACTTTTGGTCATAGGGACAGAAGGAGAAATAATGGTGCCTCTTCCAAATCATAACTATAAAGGAAATGGCTCTTGCCTGACTATTTTCTTTCCTTTCTGGCAGCCGTGAAATGAGTACCTGTACTCTATCATTCACTTCCCACCATGACATACTGCCTCCCCAAAAGAAACCATTCCTCCTCATAAGTTTATCACAAGTATTTTGTTACAGTGACAGAAAGCTAACACAAATAGATACAGAAAATGTGTATATACACAATGGAGTATTCAGCCATAAAGAATGAAAACCTGCCATTTACAGCAGAAGAGATGAAATTGGAGTACCTTATGTTAAGTGAAGTAATCCAGCCACAGAAAGAAGCTAAAACATGTCAGATTGAAAATAGAATAGGGATTGAGAAAGGGGATGGAGATGGAAAACAGAAGGTTGGATTTGATCAGCACATGCTGAATGCATGTATGGAAATAGCACACTGAAACCCATTAATACGTACAATTAATACATGGGGGGTTTTTTGTTTTTGTTTTTGTTTTTGGTACCAAGGATTGAACTCAGGACCTTGCATTTGTGAGGCAGGCAGCAGCACCACTGAGCTCAATCCCTGGCTCCCAATTAATACATGTTGATAAAAAATTTAAAGGTGGGTGTGGTGGCACATATCTATAATCTCAGCTACTCAGGAGGTTGAGGCAAGAGAATCACTTGAGCACAGGAGTTGAAGGCCAGTCTCAGAAAAACAAAAAATTTGTAAAGTTGAGCATAGATTCATAGAAATTATCCTATTTGAAAAGGTGAGAAAAGTAGCTAAGGATAATGATTAGTAAAATCTCAGAGACCTTTGAACTACATGAGAAAGTTTATCATCTTATTGGAATCACTAAAGGAAAAGAGAAAGATATTGGAACAAAGAATAATTCCAAAATTTAGCAAATGACACAAATTTACAGGTTGTAAAAATTAGGACATAATAATCTTAAATATGTATGCATCAAGCATCAGTATATATTAATCAAAACTTGTAGTATTGAAAAGAGAGAGTCAAATCCAGTTATATTTGAAGACTCTAGCACTCTTCTCTAGTAATTAATATGAGTACATATAAAGCTAGCATAGATATAGAAGACCTAAGCAACCAACTTGATTTAATTAACTAACATAGAATACACCATTCAATAGAATACATATTCTTCTCAAGTACACATGGAATTCTCAGCAAGATATTCTGTATTCTGAACTTAAACTTTAAACTTAAAAAATTAAAGTCATACAGAGTATATCCTCAGATAATATAATTAGGCTAGAAATCAATAATGAGATACGTAAAATCTCCAAAATTTTTAATAAAGGCTGTAAAACCTTTAAAATTTTGGAAATGAACAATGTTCTTCTAAATAAACTATGTAGCAAAGATGAAATCAAAAGTCCAAAAATTAGAAAATATTTCAAGCTAAAAGAAAATTAAAATACTGCATATAAAAATTTGTAGAATGCAAATAAAACTGCATAGAGGAGAGAAAATTTATAGTGTTAGATGTTTATATTAGAAAAATAGTTTCAAGGGGCGGGGTTCCGCCTCCTGCCTTGCAAGTGCGAGGTCCTGAGTTCGATCTCGATACAAAAAGAAAAAAGAAAAATAGTTTCAAATCAATGAAACTAGAGAAGGATCAAATCAAACTCAGAGCAAGCAGAAGGAAATAATAAAGAGCAAAACCAATGATATTGAGAAGACAAGTTTATATAGGTATAAAGAATAATGGAAGCAAAAGCTTCCATTCTTTGACAAGATCAATAAAATTAGCCTTCTTTGGGAGACAGCAAGGCCTCTACCATGTTCATCTATAACAAGCAATGCACAGTGCTACTATGCTATTAAAGAGTTTCTAGTCACATCTCACCTCTGCACTAGATGATGCTTTGAAGGCAGGCAGGAATGGATGAGATCAGAATCTCCAAGTCACCAAAAATTAGCTTAGTGCTCTGCACAAAGTGTCAGTACTACTACCAATGGTAATAAATTACAAATTCAGGTACTCCAGTAAAAAAAAAAAATGTGTATGACATTAAATCTATTCACATGAAAATACCAAAATTGCCTAGCCTTTTTCTTTAACAAAGCAGTCTACATTTTAACTAATATTAAGACAATATTATTATAGGAGTTTATTATATACTAGAGCCTGAGAAATGCTCTGGGATGCAGCAGGTGGTCTTTGGTTGAGGATACTTTAACTCAGTCTTTTGACAAGACAGTATATATCCTCTTCAGTGGCACATACAATTTAACACTTCCTATTTAGAAGACAAAAAGTGCAGCTTGCTGCCAGCATTCATTTAAATACTACATTTTATAAGTGGAAATACCAGTATTAATAACATAATGTAACACATAGAATGATATATCTTGTTTCCAAAGACTATCAATATACTAGAGCAATGTGAAAATAGTAACAAAACAAATATTTTATGGCAAACTTTGAGGATAAGCTTAGGTTTGTAATCCTTGAGGTATCCATCCCAGGGTAAAAGCTACAGCTGTAAGCACCTCTTAAGTAAATGTTTTGGGCCAAATGGTAATGGGCTAAATTTGAATAGATAGCTAGTTTGGCTGTTGAGTCAGCCAGACCCCCTTCAAAGTACATACTTATTCCCATGATCAATGTATCATTAGGATGTAGAAATGGACAACAGAATGTCTGCCCAGCAGGTCACCAAGGAGTGATATCCTTCAGGCAGTGACAAGGTCCCAGTGGTGTCATCAATCAGAAAACTCCCACAGTTTTCCCGCAGGGTTGCTATGAGCCACTGAGATAATAGCCTGACCTGTTTCTATGATGTCCACACACACAGCCCTCTAAAAAGGACAGCCAGGGGGTAAATTTACCATTATGAATTATCATGCACAGTCAGACACTTAGAAAATATTTATTGTCATTATCCTATTTTTACAGGTGAAAAAGGATGAAGTCCCAGAGGGAGTAGCAGGGCTGAGTCAGCAGTAGCCAGCAAGAAGCTGGATCCCACTCATGGTCCCTGTAGCAAATAGGTTCTAGCCCTCAAAACTATTTAGATACCTTCACTGCCATCAAAGGCCAGTTACAGAAATAAATAAGGGAGGGAGACAGGAAGAGAAATCTGCAGAAACTAATCCAATTATGGGTTGTTAAAGCAACCCACTGAAAGCACCAAACCTGAACAATAGTTTTTCTTCCTCTGAGGTACAAGTATGCAGTTTCATAATCACTCCAAATATGTAAAATATTTTAAAAAATAGTTTTCCATGAATTGCAGGTCCAAATTTCAAGTTTTACACAAGCAACCGGGAGCCGTGCAAGAACTTGTTCGTGGGCCACAGGTTGCTCTCCCCCCTGTTGAAGATGTGCTTCTGGCATTGTTTGCAGCGAGGATACTTCTCACACTGGTCCAAAAGGAACAGCTTGTCAGAAGCCCTGAGGAGAGGAGAGGGAGAGCAGCAGTCAGCAGGTGCTTCCCAAGGCCCTGGAGGCTGAGGGATGTAAAAGGAAAGCAACACCAGGATCCTCTTTCAAGAATCTTGTAACCCACCTTCATCTCTCTGTCTCTCCCTGCCACTCTACTACCTGCAGTTCACCCCAGATTCCAGCATCATTTGCTTCAAACTTCCACTGTCTCCTGTCCATGAAATCCAAAACCCTGAATTGGTGTCTTCATGACATTCTGATCCTACCCCTCTCTCCGGCTGTACACTGAGAATGCAGATGCCAAAGGCCATACTGCCAGCAAAGCTTCTGTATTTGTTGTTTTCCCCTGTGAGTGCATCTCCATCTCTAAGTCTCCCAGAAACGAATTAAAGAAGAAGATCAGGCCATTAAGCTGCAGGTCAATAGATAACACAATGCAGAGCAGTAAGAGTAGACCTGCAATGAAAAGACCCAGGAGACCAGAGCCTTTGGAGAATCCAGAGCAGGCGAGAAAATGGAGACAAAAAGGTTGGCAAAAGTTCATGGAAGCAGAGATGAAAAGGCAGCAGTGAATGATTTTCCACTTTGACAATTAGTTATTCAAGCCATCCCTGGTATGTTTCCCTGCCCCCTTAACCTTTCTTCAAGGGTGGAAGTCTGTTTAAAAAAAGGGTTGGGGGGGGAGCATCAAGACCAGCCTTGAAAGGAAAAAACCAGAAACAACTTTGCAAGTAGGTGAAGAACTACCTGACTTGCATTTATAAGGGGACAGATAGTGTCTGATGACATACATGGGAACCATGCTTTTGCTTTTTACCACAATCACTTCCTTCTTACTACCTACTGCTTGGTCAAGGTGGTCTAGGTCCCCCTATAACATCTGCTCCATCAAGTCCCCAGTGCAGATTTGTTAGACTACCACTGAACATTACTATTTCCTTCCGTCCTTTATCACAGTGCTGGCCAAGCAACCTTACTAAATCAAAATAAAGTCTCCCTGGCATTACTCTCAATGCTATTTACCTACTTTCCCAAACACTGATAATATAGCTTGAATGCTCCAACTCTTCTTTCACTTGTCTCTAGGCCAAACAACCCCACTTCTCCTTTGAAACCTATTTTCTGTATCATCCCTCATACTTTCATAATCAAAATATGAATTTCACTTATTAGAAAGACAGGTGAGAAAAACCTTACAAGAAAATCTTTTTTAAAAGTTATAAATCAAGATCCATTATAACAAATTTTATCCATCACAAAAGCTAATTGGCAATTTAAATACCATTTTAGTGTAATTAGGTTTGGTTTTCATAATTTGATTGTATAGATGGTCTATTTCATCCATGTATTTTTGGGGGAGGGTGGGGTACCAGTGACCTTACACTTGTGAGGCAGGTGGCAGAACCACTGAGCTAAATCCCCAGCCCTCATCTATGTATTTTTAACTGTGTTATCCCACTTTACATTGTAAAGTATTTTGATTTCTTTTGAAGTATAATACTTTCTCATCTTTTTATTTGATCCCTGAAACACCTGTGTTAGCACGGACAGGGAAGTATTTACTTCCATTTTACAAATAAGACGAAACAATTAGCTGCTTCTCCAAATTTAGTGTTAATTATCAAAGCCAGGATTCCCTAACTGTAGACTGTAAATACACAGCTGGAGGGAGGGGTTGGTCTCATAATGAGTGTTACGGTTTATATTAAGAATGTCTGTCCCACTTGTAGAAGATAACTGGATCCCTGGGACAATATACTCATCAGTGGTGAGTTCTCTTTAGCTACTGGTGAATTCAGCAGGTTCGTGGGCTGTTGGAAGGCCGGGCCTGCTTGAGAAAGTGGCAGGTCACTAGAGAAGAGTTTATCTCCCTCCCTAGCTCCTCTTTCACTCTCCCTGCTTCCTAGCCACCATAATGTGACAGCTTTCCTCCCTCCAGGTCCTTCCACCACAGCATTTCTGTGTTTAAGCTTGCTGAACATGTACTGAAACTTCTGAAACATGAGCCAGAATAAACCTCTCCTCCTTTAAATTGTGGCAACAGCCACTGGGTGTCAGAATCCTCCGATAAAAGTCAGTACTAACCTCTACTGGTTCATTTTTTCCTGAAAGAACATAGCCTCCTTTTCATCTGAAAAGCATTGATTCACCAGCTATTGTGTGGTTGTTATAAAAATACTGTGTTCCAGTGGTGAGAAAGTGACTAAAACAATGGGCGTCTCATTTTCCAATTGTCAATCTTACCCACAACTCCATGACTCTGGTCTTCAATGACCATTCCACACATAAATAAGCCTTAGAAGTGTTCAGATCACAAACTCACTCTCCCTGCTTCCAAACAGTTATTTTCAAAGAGAATCTCCATCCTCTACAAATGGAAAATAAAGCCACCTTGAGCAGAGGCAAAATGGTTGGTAAACCTATGGCATACAATCACAGCAGTATGTTTTGCTGAATACAAACTTGTTTTTCCATAAAATTTTCTAGGGAGCCACTATTAATCAACTGGAGTCTGACACTTGAAGCCTGTCTGTCATCCCAACATTAGAGGAAAATGAATGGGGGCGGGGGGCGGTGTTGCAAACAAAGAGCTTCTGGTTCAAATCATTTCTTACCGCTCAAAAGCTTTTTCCTCCAGGTCCCGCTGTTTCTTCATGGTAGCGCTCCTTTCCCAGTCCTCCTGAAAGCACTGGTTGATCCTTTTCACATGCTCCACCTCAGCAGTTCTGTCTGCTAAGTGCCTGGAGAGAAAAGAACAGTCTGACTCTGTTCATAGTACTTGGAAGGGCATGTACCAACCATGGAAGCCCCATTCCTTTTATGTTAAATAGAAAAATCTCTGTTGTTGTGGTTGTTGTTGTTGTTGTTGTTGGTTTTTTTGTTTTGTTTTTTGTTTTTGAGACAGGGTCTCAATATATAGTTCAGGCCTTGAACTCACTATGCAACCCAGGCTGACCTCAAACTCATGACCATCCTCCTGCCTCAGCCTTCCGAGATCTGGGATTACAGGCATGTGCCACCATGCCCGGCTATTCACTAATTTTGAAATTCACTAAAAAGCATAGATATTGTAAAAGCATGGTTTAACTCCCAGTTATCAATAATTTTCATGTCCAGGACCTTTCATCTTTCAATTGTGGTTTAAATTAACAAGATATGATCCTTTTTTCCAAGTAACATCCTTAACCTTTAAAGCCATTAATTTCCTTTAAAGCTAATTTATTTCATATGAAGAATCTTCCCACATAGATTTCCTATACTGTATGTTTCTTTCCTTTGATTTCAGCGTCTCAGCTGTCAGTAATCAGCCTACAGACACATTATAAGACAAAGCAGATATACATACAAATCAAAGTCTAGAAAGGGGAAAAGGAATAGAAGTGAATAAGAAAAAGGAAATAAGGAAAATATCCAACATTGTAAACAGGTTAAAGGGGAAGTTGTTTGGTGAAGTCCATGTTATCAAAGGAGTGACTGCAGTATAATCTCTCCAAGTACAATATTTCACTATTCTTATGTTATTATTCTTGTTTTGTTTCCGTCATTTGTCTCCAAACACACCTTCGCTACTGTTATGAATCACCATAAGCTTGGTTATAATTATTTATATGTGTCTATGTCTTGTCAAAATAGAGCTTTTACCATCAGTTTTATTAAAGTTCCCAAAATCCTCCAATAAAAATCAGTACTATCCTCCACTGGTTCATAGCCAACTTTTCCACCTGACAAGCATTGACTTCCCAGTTATTGTGTGGTTATTATAAAGATTAAATGATAACACATGCAAAAAGTCCCAATGCCCATCATATCATGGGAGCTCACTGATGAATGATGACTACTTTTTTCATACACTTTTTTCTTTTCAGTTTTAATTGTGGTTTAAAAAAAATTACTACCTTAACCAGTCCTAAATGTACAGTTATTTGGTTGGTATTGAGTATATTCATGTTGCTGTGCAGCCAATATTCAGAACTCTTTTCAACTCGAAAAACTAAAACTCTGTACCTATTGAACAACTCTGTTCTCCTTCCTCAAGCCCCTGACAACCACCATTCTCCTTTCTGTTTCTATGAATTTGATGTTTCTAGATAACTCATGTTAAGTAGAATCATACAATATTTGTCTTTTGTAATTAGCTTATTTACTTAGCACACTGTTCTCAAAATCCATTTATGTTGTAGCATGTTACAATTATACCCAAAAAAACCAAAAGCAAAATCTTAAAGAAATATTTGACATTTATGTTCATAGCAGCCCTATTCACAGTAGCCAAGATGTAGAAGCAACCCAGATGTCTACCTACAGATTAATAAAATGTGATATAAGTATATAATGAAATATTTTCCAGCCATACAAAAGATGTCATTTCTGGCACCAGAGAGGGAACTGGAGGACATTGTGTCAAGTGAAATAAGCCAGACACAGAAAGACAAATACCAAATGTTCTCACTCATTTGTGGAAGCTGAAAAAAAATGATCTCATAGAAGAAATTGTAACAGACATTACTAGAGACTGAAAAAGGGTAGAGAGGAAGGAGGTAACATGTACCAAAATACAAATAGGAAGAACTAGTTCTGGTGTTTTATTTTTTTAATCTCAGTAAGGTAACTATAGGCTAAAACAATTTATAACATATTTCAAAATAACTTGAAGAGTTGGTAGTTTTCCAACACATACAAAGGATAAAAATTTGAAGAAATGAAAATGTTACTCTGATTTGATCACTATACATTGTATAAATGTATTGAATAATACTGCATCCATAAATGTGTACAAATATGTCAATTAAAAACAAATTTTAAAGAATGTCTAATACAGAATTGTTATAATAGTAAAACATCTGGAGAAAAGCGAATATTTACCAGTAGTTTAAAAGTTACAATACATCCATATTATAGATATTATGTTGCTATCAAAGAAGAATGAATTTGGTATATACACATACATACTGTCTTGGATATAAATTAATGATACACTAAGTTAAAAGTAAAGTTGTGCAGTAATGCGTAAGATCTCACAGACTTCCTTTTTATTTATGAAAATGGAAGGAAAATATATATGTGCATGTTATTTGAATATATTTGTTAAAAAATGGGAGGAAATGGTAGAAAGTTACAAATTAACCTTAACACTGACTACTTGATGGAGATTATTAACCTTTTTAAAATCTTTTCATTAATCTCATCAACTGACTTACTTCAATGGGCAGAAATTATTATTTTTTCTTAAATTCTTTTCTCAGTACATTTTAGGTATACAACACAATTACACTTCTCACTGGGAACTTGGACCTTTACATGATCCATCTTGGTTCTTATTTTTTCCCCATTCCTAGCTCTCCCTTCACCCCCTCCACCCTTCCCTATTTACAAGGACTTTATTTCCATTTTTTCCATTTCTCAGCATTTTTCCTTTCCCTTCTTTCCTTT